GAACAGCCGAGCAGTATCACATTTGCGTGTCTTCTGCTCTTTCCTCGCCAGCGCCATGTGCGTCGTAACCGTCGTCTTCAGTTACCTTCACACGCGAGACAACAAAGACGTGGGTAGGTATTAATGGAGTTTTCCTTCTCGTTTCCGATGCTCATTATTGTTACAAAAATAATAATAATAATAAAAAAAAAATATTATTATCATGTTTCGTGATTTCTGGATTTATTCAGTTTGGTTATTGATATTTGTTAATTTTACAATATACCTTCGCTTAACAGATTGCGACGATTTTGGTATCGATGGATTTCTCTCACTCTCCATTATCCAAATATATAGAAATTATGCTGCGGAAACCGCCCAAACCCGCACATTCTTGGCCCCGATAGCAGGGGAGGGCATGAAACGTACCAGGGGAATTGAAGGGTAAAACATGAATAACATACACAGAACCGCCCCCAACCCCCTCCTAGGAAAAACAAAAAACCACGCCCACATGCTGGTCGTAAGCTCTTCCCTGCCGAGAATACGTGGATTCCTTGTTTTCCATTGCAAGGGTTAGGGGCGGCACTCCCCAGGAGGGGAGGCGCAGAGGGAACATCCTCCAGACCGATTTGAGTATATTAATATTTTGCCCGCAATTTCCCTGGTATCTTCAATGCCATTCCCTGATTTCGGGACCAAGATTGTCGCTAATGGGTGGCGGGGGGAGGGGGTCCGCGGCATAATTTTGATGTATTTTGGATAGGAGAGACCGAGAGGGATATACCAATACCAAAACCGTTGCGATTGGTTATTGGTGAAGCAATAGTTTAAATATGAGACATTCACTGGAAGAATTGTGCTTGAAACTTTGGCACCATCCTCCCCTGTTGCTCTGGTAAAAATATATTAATTCGCGTTCATACTCTACCCGCCAGTTGTCATTAATTCACATGTATACTTGTATTCTCTATCTACGTATACCTTGGGAATATTTCAGCATTTGTATGTATATATACACACGTACACTTGATCTTCTGTAATGTTTTCACCTCGAACTTACAGTAAACATTATATTTCAGCTTACTGGACGGCAGAACACAGCTGGATGAGAGAACGAAATAGTTGGGCCTATCACGTGGTGGCTACTGCCTCGGAGTGGGTCCTCGCTGGAGCCTTTTACGTCGTCTTGTTGACTCTAGTCCCAGGTATTGTGAATGACGCAGAATTACTAAGCGTTTTGGGAAAGACTAGAATGGTTAATGGTTAATGGTTAAAAGCAAAATAAATGGAACATCTAATGTCACATAGCACTATAGGAAAGTACAGTAAAGAGTAGTGAAGGGTGGTTGAGTTAACAATTAGTTGCTGCGCGTAAACTATCTAGAGTAATATTGAAATGGTCAAAGATGGGTAAAGGTGTTGATGAGTGAATGGGTTACAGTAGGGTTGGGTAACGGGATTAGGTCAAGTGAAGGACATGTATGCGTCTGAGGAAGGGGAACAGGTTGTCAAAGCAGGAAGTATGGGATTCTGTAAAGATGTCTGATAGATTGGGAAGTCAGTTAAAAAAGACTGGAATAAGTTATCTAATTGGGCAAATTATTGTTATCGCCAATGAGAATGGTGGTGATAATGATAATAATGGTAATAGTAATTATAATTTTTGAGGGTATTAAGGATTGTCTAGATCTACAATTGGCTCTTAAATCAAGTGTCTGCGTAGTTGCATTGTGTTATCTTTTTGGAAAGTATATCCACCTAAGAGAACTCCCCCCCCCCTTTTTTTTAAACCGCCGCCTGTTAAATGAATTAGCTTCGGCACGCATTGCTCTTAGGCAATAACAGATTCTATTTCTTCTACCAATACATATTTCCAACCAATTCCACCTTCTGTTGCGATAACCATGCCCAAATGGGAGGAAAATAGAAGGGAATGAATGTGGTAGGCAGCGCCAGGGGGGGGGGAGGGGACCAGTTTTCATTGGCAACGGGCCCTCCCAAAGGACACGTGAATTCTGCATAATACTAAATGTTCCTGTTTAAAGAAACAGAATCAAGGTAAATAAATATACTATTATAATTTCATCAAACTACGCAACTGGCGAGAGAAAAAGGGAAATAAAGATGAACAAAGAGACACTGAGAATAAGAAGCTAAGGTTGGCATTGATAAAGTTATGGTCCTGTAGGGTGAACAGCACAATTTCTACGACTCCCCATGAACTATATTTTCCTCTTCCCTCAAGAGTTCAAGCGTGTGACGGTGCAGGGTATGGTGGTGGAGCTGGAGAGAGACCGCAGACAAGTAAGAGGAGACGACAGCCGCAGCACCGGCACGGTTAATGAGTCCTTCGCGGAGACTGTCAGGTAATACGTCAAGTCAAGGGATATTGGGGAGGGGGGGGGGGAGGGGGGGGGAGGGGGGGGGGCTCTCTCACGTCACGTAATGGGAAAGAGGAAGCACCATTGCCCTATGAACCATATGTCTTCTTTTCTACTTTTACACTGCATCATGTATA